ACCGATATTCCTCCAACAAGTGCTTTATACACTTTCACAGTACCGGACATTCTGAGCGTAATATGTCTATCCAAGTCCTTGTGATCGTAGATGATGTTCGTCGGATTACAGATGCTGAATTTTACTGAACTTGTTTGTTGCAGACCATCTATCCCCTTGGACTGAATGACCATGTTAAGAGTTTCGGAGTTGTTACACAGGACGCAGTTCACAGCCGCAATATCATCCCTTACTTTCACGTTCGTCTTCCTCGTCTCCTACGCTCACACGGTCGTAGACGTCTTGCTTCCATCACCATCAACCGTGCTTTTATTGATACCGCATTGTATTTGCCTTTCGATAGCGCCCCGGACTTACAAGCCTTCATGCGTCTTCTTCATGGTCAAAATAATCGCACCCTCCTACTTACATTCGGACGACTAAGTAAATCCACTCTGCACGAGGCCCTCCTTTGGCACATTCTTAGCTCTCTTCTTAACACAAGGCGACCACCTACACCATCGAGTCGTCGTCGTGCCATGGTATTTTGTGTTGTGATGCCTTATTCCGTCCCTGCTATGACAGTCTGAGCTAGGGTAGGCGCGTTCACAATTGGGCTTTTCATCTCCTACGCGACGGCATCTCGATTCCTCGTTTCATCGTAACTTTCAAATACGATCTTTCTCTGGACCGTCTATTTTTTAATCATATTTACTTACTACGCGAACTCGATAGAGCCCCCACTCTGCTGCATTCTTCTTCCATCCAGTGTTACTGCTCTAACTCTTTTGTTTATGCACCATTCGGTTGCATAGTTACTGACGATACGCGAATTCTAGGTGATCCCTTCATAGAAGAGTATTTCAATCTTGGCTGTAACTTCCGGCTACCTAGAAACATACATCCCATCGAATTTTACAACATTTCAACACAAGCTTCTCGGTCTACACACGCCTGCTTACCAGAAAATATAGCCTAGAACCGGTACAAGTTCAGTTCTACCACGATGGGATCTTATTCCGTGCTCGTTGTTTGCTGGAAAGTTTCTACATCAATGCCCGGCCTATTGACCACATTACTTCTTCCATTCTCCTTAGTCGTTCTTCCTGCCAGCGTCACCGCCTAGTTATTACACCAGTACATAAGGCACCAAATAGTTACGCTTTCATCTGTAAATCGCTCTACGTAAACACCCTACGCCGGGAACATGGCATAAAAGACAATGGTGAGGTGCTGGGCAACGACACTTACATTCCGATTCGCAGCAGTACATCGCAGATTGTCGCTAGCCACGATAAACAGCTACTTACTTTCCTTACCTCATTCTAGACGAAGAAAATAAAGTTCTCCCTATCATTAACGCTGTTCCTAAGTTTCTTAGAAATCCCTACAGCTTCCGCTTCATCGCTTCCGCCATGCATTCCAGTATCAAGCCCTCTTTCATAGCGTAGGTAACTCTAGTGAGGTACTATCCTTTATCAGCGAATGCGGACTTGTTAATCACCTGCACACTGCAG